CGAATTTGGTGAATCGAATGTTTCTAGCAATACAAACGGCCACCGAACATCATCCCTTTCCCGTTCATGCCATCGCAATCTGCACCAGCAACATGCACGCATGGACGGCATAAGCCAAGATGTTTTCAAATATTCTCCTTGCCACTTACTCCAGTACAGCAGAGTCCCCATTATCCGACCTAAACGGGATCGATGGACGATCGGATTAACGAAATAGTATAATTTAACAGAAGAAATCAGGTTCATTAATAATTATTCTACAGTACGAGTAACATAACAGATTTCCCCCACCCCTGGCATTACAGCCCCAGTGGGCCTAGGCCTACCTCCATGAACTTCTCCGTTCACTTCGGTTTTTCTAGATCTTAGACATTTGGTAGGACTCCTTGGGCGGGTGATCAGCTCGTCGCAAGGCCTCTACCTGTACATAAACACAGAAAAACGCACACAAACATCCATGCCCTGAGTGGGATTCGAACCCACGATCCCGGCTTCCGAGAGCGAAGACAGTGCACGCCTTAGACCGCTCGGCTACCGTGACCGGCAACATAACGGATTACAGAACTAATATTTAGAATTCCAACTAAATAAACTGAGAAATTAATTAAATCCCGTACAACACTGTAAATATCACGTAGGATGGCTATGTCGGATAAAACGGAAGGTCGGATAATAGGGACTTTACTGTACCGTCAGCCGATTACAGCAGCCGCGCGGTCTACGGCACGAGATGTCTTCGCCCGCTCGAACACTGGGATCGTGGGTTCGAATCCCACTCAAAGCATGGATGTCTGTGTTTGTGTTACGTAGAGGCCTAGCGACGGACTGATCCCCCGTCCAAGGAGTCCTACCGACTGTCTGTGGCCTATGGTCAGAATGCGAGCAACAAAAGAAAAAGAAGACTGCACCAGCAACTTGTCATTTATGAAGCAACACAGCAAATTTTGACACGGCCCAAAGAACTTACAGAATTACTGTATGCATATATACGTATGCAAATACCATCATCATTGGCAGTACTGCCCTTTTTGAGCCCCACAGCCTTCCCTAGAAGATTCTGCCAGACAAGTCTATATTCCGCCGTGAATCAGATCGTCAGGATTTCATTTTTCCGGATTCCGCGACGATTGCCAGCCTTGCGTCCAACTTCCAACGTGGAAGACCAGACTATTTGCCCCCCCAGTGACAGGGTGGCCCATTTATACCCCAGGCACCGGGTTCCCCTTCCGCCGCCTTCTGCATGGGCCATATGTAAATTTGTTGTCCGTTTAGTAGATGAATTGGTTTCAGTGTGTGATTAATTTCCATAAAGTCTTATTATAATCAGAAAAGCAGTGGTCATTTTAACCTTTGCTTGGTTACTTTCAAAACGCTTTACATGGCGAATGTACATTTACAACTTCCGGTATGAATCATGTATCAGTATCGGTCAATTCAGCATCTTCACTTTGCTGCATCCACACATGGATGTAAATAAATAAATAACTAAATAAGCAATGAATAGGGGCTGACGCACGAGATAAACGTCAACCCGCAGCAGTAATCAGTGAGCATGTGATGCAGACCCACACGAAGGGCGATAACGTCGCGTTCATGTCTTCCAGCACGAGTTCCGACTTCTTGTGGTGACCTACGTAAAGTTGTCCCTGTGCTTAACTATAAAGCACTAGGCCATGAAGGCGTATGGCGCAGTGGATGGACAGATCCACATTTTCTTGACCTCGGCACTAGCTGGAGATGAGTGGCCAGCTTCACGCCACGGCAGCCTTACCCCCGGGGAAAGTGCCCGAGGTACCCATTGGATAGAAGGTTCGGTGGACCCCACAACCGGTCTGGACAACGTGAAGTAGAGAACATGTTTGACCCTACTCCAGCCCGTAAGCAATCGCCATAACGACTGCACTATCCCGGCTTAAGTTCTACTTGAATATACTTATTTCATTATACTTATTATAGTTTCTGGTTCCTTTTTCCTCTTGATTACCTGCAGAGGGTCAAGACGTTAACTTGTTCCTGTGCTTAATCAATTAAGCACTATATCATGAAGACACATGGAGGAGTGGACTTATAGCTCCACCATTCTTGACATCGGCACTAGACAGAGTTGTGGTCAGCTTCACGTTCTTTTCACTTTACCCCTTAGGAAAGAGCCCGGTACTCACTGGAAAAGACACTGGGTGGGCCCCAGAGCCGGTCTTCGACGCTGTGGGGAAGAGCAAAAGAAATCTGCAGTGTCGGGAATCGAACCCGGGTCGTTCAGCCCGTTGCTCATCCATATACCGACCGAGATGTTCGGCTTCCCATTTCTGTTGGGAGGGGTGGAATTAATGAAAAGGGCGAACGTGAATCAACCATGTGTAGATGAGCTCTGCACTGTATAAATATTAAAACGCAGTTACTTGAACACTCCACGCTCCTGTCGCTAAATGTATGGAATGACCTCTCTGTTTTGGAAGGGATAAGGGCCGCTTCTACACTGCAATAAAATATAATTACTATTATCGTCATAACGTCAAGATACTCAAGACACAAAAATGTTTCAACTTCTTTTATTTCGAATAATAAATAGAGATATACACTAAACCTCATTTTATTATTACTCAAAGTTCTGAGGTGGGGTATCAATCAGAACATGCTAGGTCGTAATTGCATCTGGTACATACTGTCTGTCGTGTTCAACGACTTCTCCAGTATGCTGATTCTGGTTCTCACTGCATGCTGAAAGGAGGACGTGCTAAATTCCCAATGATGACGTAACAACCTACCTACGTCACTACCTGATGCCTACGCACCCTCGACAATGATTTGGACTGAGTATACTCTTCACTCGGCGGCAGGCGCGCAAGGCTCACAACCTCCTCTACTGTTAGCCGATTGTCTGGAAAATGTGGGAGCCTAGACGTCTCACAATCCTATGGGCCCCCACGGTCTGTCTGTTACACGGATGGCGTTACCTTTTTATACTTTTCATTCGGCAATGACATACAGCAGCTATTGATCCCAACAAGAGATACCTTACATTCTAAAGGGTTCTGACGATGATTACACTCAGAATTATTAGGTCTTTGGACTTTTTCCATCGTCCGGTATTCTAGAAGTCAGAAAACACGAAGTTTCGTAAACTGGATCTGTTTCCGTCCTCAGGTGGGGGGGGTGCACCTATTCAGTTGGGTCCCATAGAAAGAGCCAACCTCAATCACTGGACATCCAGGAACAGATCTAGTTTCCGAAACGTCGTGTTTTCTAGCTTCTAGAATACCGGACGATGGGAAGTCCGAAAACCCAGGAATTCTGAAAGAAATTCCTTGCTATGGAACTCAAAGATGGAGCATCAACATGACGGGTCATGTGTTTCAGCCACTTCACAGTGGCACAACCCACGTTCTTATATCTCATTTCACTGTTATCCTCCCCTCTACATCTTGGTCTCCCAATGAAGTTTTACACCCAAAATTTTGTATGCATGTTTAACATTGTGTCTAGGAGCTAATGCAGTAGGTATATCACACATGAAACTGGAAAATTTAAATACATATCCTGAGTCATAAAGCGAAATACCAAATTTCAATACTCAGCTGATGCAGAAATGCAACTATAAAACTAATCACTATCCAACTTCCAGAAAAATATCTCCTTAAAATGACTATTCAGGACGTCTTACGTAAGGTGTTGAAGCAACAAAATATATAGATCACTGTGGTCGCGGTGCAAGGGCCAAAAAGGCCCACCCCTCATACAACTAATGATACAATATTGGAACCTTGTAAGGGATCTGTTCTGCACCCTAATGTGCCTACAACTGGTGTCCGAACTACATCACTACAAACCCAGCTCAATTCAGCACCTCAAATAATTCAAGAATATATGAATGTCAAATTCCATCACTAAGATCATATTCAAGGTCACACCAATATTCATGCAAGCTGTTAATAAGAATAAATCCTTAAACTGCATAAAAATACAAGACATACAATGGCATTACATGAAAGGAGGTTGGCTTTGAATGGAATTACGAATAGTAATCACCGACACAGAATGAAAGAAGGCTTAATGGATTTGTTGACTGACTCTTCTTCACATAACTGTTATCTCATGATCCCCTGGGCTGATGGTGGCCAATAAATTATCATCATAGAGCCCCATTGGTCTCTACCTTCTTGTGCTTTTGATAATTCTGAATTTTAAGAATTGCTATTGGCACCAAAGCAATTACCAAAAATAAAGACGCTCCCCATTCACGTTGAAAGTGCTGACATAAACCTTGAACCATTTCGACCTTGGGCACCTCCTCCGCACTACTGAAACCAGTTCAGTTAAATCTGTTTCTTCTAAAAATAAGTATTTACTTTTATAACGCAAACCAGGGAAATGAACTTGCAATAACAGACCTGCTTTCTTTCTGTGTAATGTAACTCGTTCTTCTGTGTAAAATACTAAAAAGAAACATTTTAAAATCACATCTTGGCATTCATTTTCACACGACCCTATGTAAAACATCTGTGTGGAAGTAAAATGGCAATCTTCACAGGTTCGAGACCGCAACACATAATTATGCGGATCAAAGTGGAATGACCGAACTGGTATACGAACCTCACTACGCCCCTATTATACGATACAAGTCAAAGCTTACATTTCTTCAAATAAAACAAAAACACCAGCATTTTACGTGGATATGTATTCACGAGGGCTCCACGTCGACTGCACCGATGTTGAAATTAGACGGATCGGATTCATCATGAAAACCACATTACCAACTGAGATCACCCAACGAAGTGTACACATTTTCATCATACAAATTCAAACAAATGTTCGTAAACAAAAATGATAACATCACAGAAAACAGCATTTGCAAAAACTGGGTGGGGTCGAACGATTGTTGGGGCAAATGTCAATCCTTGCAAATGTGTCCGCAAGCGCAACAGTTAGTCACAAAAAAACAAACGAGCTACAAGGAACTAAATCTGAACATACACACAAATAAAAGTATTAAAAAACTTTACCATCATTTTGTAGTTTACTTTTCGAGGAGCTGCGGTAGCGTTTTCCATCCGCACTGCCATGTTTTCAAGGTTACACTTCTTTTCGTTGACAAGTATTAGGGGTGTGCCTCGCCCAGCAGTAATAAACTACAGCGATTCCTACTTCAACAATTCACCATCCCTGCTTCACTATGCATTCATCGCTTTCGAAAAGGCCACCGCGGAAGTTACACTATATTAAAAACGAAATTAAGGTTAATTATATTATTTTGTTGAATTAGTTCCTCTAAGCAGAAAAGTCTACGAAGCAAACACCACTCACCACCGGACTGGCCACCATCTTGACTCTGACAGTGAGTTCATGGCACAAGCCGCCAGACAGCGCTGCGATCAAAGACATAACGACGCGTGAGAGGGGGAATGTGGGCACGAGAGCAGTGGCAGCACCAGCGGTCGCCGTTTTATTTAAAAATACAGTCATGTCATAAACTAAATACACAGATTTGTCTTCCCCCACAGATATAGTTATTACACTGTTCGTTGCATTCTCTCCACTTATTGATGATACTGGTTGACGTATTTAAATGCACTATATAATGATCTCTATTTTTTGCATCCTGTTTGTTGTGTATAACGGAATTAGGTTTTGTGCTGACCGTCGACACAGCAACCAGTTGATAAAACTCATATTACTACAATGCTAATATTTCGTTTTATGATGAACAATACACTACATATTGCGATTATAACAGATCATCATCCACTCAACCTATCCACGTATTTCAGTTATCTTCCCGTATTGCAAAAACTACACCCCCACACACGTCACAAGACAAAACGTAAGCCATACACAATATAAAAAACATATATATAAAACTTATACAACTATGATTTGAAAATTAAAATTATTTTGATTCCACACCTAATTTTGACATTTTTGCAGATGACACCATCACAAGGGAATATTCTCTACACCACCAGTAACTCCCGACAAAGCCCAATGTATAAAAACTACAGTACAATTTGCATACCATTATACAGTCTAGTTACATGTGAGTAAAAACCAACCACTGATTAGAATCACATAGCTAAACGATACACCACATAACTCACCTTAGACAAATCAACACGATATAAGATGCAGATACAATAAAAACATAAAAAATACACAAAACAGCGTTAAATAATCGACCCATATTTTATTACAGCAACTCCACAAGACATAACCGAATATACAGGGAACCCTCTACACTTACAGCACACAGTACTTCCTGGGATGATAGCTACACCATATCTACATATCACTGCATGCCCAAGTTATACGTTAAGTACAGAGCCAAGTACATTACAATCACATAATGGCCAAACATTTACACCCCGTAATATATATATATAAACATGTTACCGATTTTTCAAATATCTAGATTTTGGTGGGAAATTCAGCAGGTAAAAGACCACTAGGAAGACTTAGAGGCAGGTGGGAGAATAATATTACAATAGGTCTTAGAGAAATAGGACAGGGCGGTATGGACTGGACTCATCTGTCTCAGAATAGAGACCAATGGAGGGTAAGAAGGGCTCAGCTCCAAGTAGTTAGTTATGTATCTAGCGCATCCCCACCCTTCATTACCCAGTCTCAAAATTTCCACCACCTTAGAAACACGGCCTGCAGTGTACTATGTGTACATACAATGTGGACCTACTCAGAACACCTACAACCATTACCTTATTTTACTTTATTTCCTATTTTATTTTATTTTAACACCCGACATATAAACAATCGTATATTCATTCGCGATCTATTTCAAATGTGTACATTAATATGTGATTAATGAAACACTCTAATTGTAAAAAAGTGGATCCATATTAACTTGACAATTCAATGATAACGTTTCCCATATATTCATAAATCACCATCTCATGATCATCTAGTATGATCGAAGAATATAGTGGGTTGTACACAATAAAAATAAATATAAACATATTATTAATATTAGTTTTATTAATTAACTGTTGCATCGACTGTCACCAGAATACCTTCATTCTGTATAATGAATACGAAATGTTAAATTAAGTATATTTATGTTTCACACACTACAGCTACTCGGGCATGCTACAATGCTTTATGAGATTCCATGATTATTTATTTGCAATTATTGCACTTCAATTAGAATTAGCTGGTGACTCCTAACTACTGTGAAGTTTCGAATGTTTCGCAGTATTATGCTATAGATAACAAGTGAAAATATGCACCACATATTAATCACATGCGATCCATCATACAACAAATCCTAGCCCAGTACTTTCTCACACAGATGTATACTATCTGACTGGCGAAAACTGTTGTTATTATGTACACATTACATGCTAAATAACCAGATCAAGAGAAAATTAATACTGCACGCAACTTTGCAGTCTTTTGCACTGTACTTCCTTACAATTTAGACTGCACTGACCTCTTAATAGCCTCATATCACCATCTTTATTACAGTACATAAAATTCATAATCTTTATCGCTGCTATGTATTAAAATTTGAGGTTATGAGGCCGGTGAATGTTCGTACCATGTACTACGTTTTGACACCATAGCGGGTTAACTCCCAACCAGATTATCTCTTGTATCCTGAAGATGAAGGGGCGCATGGTAGCGTAGTCTATTGAGACACTACGTTACAAGCTGGGAGGTCGCGGGCTCGATTCCCGATGAGGTCACTGGACTTTTAAATTGATCTAATCCCTCCAGCTGCACTATGGCCCTGAGGTCGACTCAGCCTCTAACAGTAATGAGTACCAGGAATCTTCCTTGGGGGTAGGGGGCGGCCGGCCGGCGTGTAAGACTGACCTCACCGCCATCTGTAAGCCGATTGTCTAGAAATGTGGGAGCCTCGACGTTTCATAATCCTGTGGGCCTCCACGACCTGTTACAGGGATAATTTTACCCTGAATATGACGGTTGCAGATATCTCCACCGAGTTACCGGATTACGAGGCGTAACATCACAGACGACTGTATTCTCTAGAGCAAATAGCGTGTGCCAAAGTACACGTAACGGAAGGCCAAATAATGGGGTGAATGAACGGACAGGAATGGTCTGTCGTATTTAAAAGTTTCTGACGATCGTACATTAATATAATTATTGAGTTTCTCGACATTATCCAGACCTCTAGAAATGCCCATTAAGGACCACAGATACAACCTAGCCCAAAGGTCTGCTCGAAAAAAAATAAAATAAAAATTAGCCCAACATGCGTACGATGAAGGCCACAAAATGTGACTGAAAGACGTGAAGGTCTTGTAGATTGAGCCCAACATCACATGCAGGAAAGACGTGAAGGTCTTGCAGACTGAGCTCAGCACCACATGCAGGAAAGACGTGAAGGTCTTGCAGACTGAGCTCAGCACCACATGCAGGAAAGACGTGAAGGTCTTGCAGACTGAGCTCAACACCACATGCAGGAAATACAAGGAATCCGCTTACATATCTCCGATAGACCACACACCCGTCAACCCAGCTTGGACATCTCTCACATCTGGACTCCCGTTATTGTATAAGAAGTCAGAAAACTACAACTCCGACAAGTGTAGATTATGTGTGAAGACTGCGTTTTTATGCTGGTACTGCAAAAAAAAAAACCTGGCCGCGGTCTGACAAAGGTTGAGAATCACTGTCTTAAGCGATGACTTCTATTCTGATAGCACTCTCGTTTTAACAATATTCGTGAAACAGTGCATGGACAGAGGAGCTAGGCCTCATGTGTGTGGAGTTTTTATTTTAACGTTTTTAATGTCTGTTTGAACTTTCACTGATGATTAATGCTGTGTTTGGTTTATACATTCCATCTTGGGTTGCTGCAGGTGTCCGGAGGTAGGGACTAGCTCTGTCGATTGGGTCCAACTGAGTAGGTTTCACCTGAAGACGGAGACAGAATCCAGTCTCCGAAACATTCTGTGTTTTAAATACAAAAAACAGAACGATGGCAGATAATGACAAGAAACACAATGACTCTATCTGCCGTGTCGCTTGTTTCACGATGAACTGAGAAATGGAGAAATGAAGTTTACAGATTCACGTGTTCTGCCATATACTCGTAAGAGGAACTTGATTTCATGTGGTGTTCTGAGGTTCGGGTTTTCTGGAATGTAACGTAATGTAGCTTGGTACACAGGTATCATTGTTTTAGAGGAACGAGAAGGCGGACGCGGCATGTTCCTCTGAAACGTTTTTTATCTACCGAGCTATACGGTGTCACATACCTGGAGACCGTAATTCAAAACTTCAGATCTCAAATTGTAACGCCTTACAACAAACAAACAAAACTCCGTGATTTTAGTCCGCAAGCGAACTATACCGACCGAGCGACCGCCGCTTGTCGGCGAAGTTTAGTGCCAACTTTTGCGGATAGAGGGTGTCGCGTGGTCAGCGCAATGAATCCCCATGGCCGTTAATTTCGGTTTTCTAGACCGGAGCCGCTATTTCCTTGAAATATCTCCTCAGTTATCATCACGAGGCTGAGTGTACCCCGTTCCAGACCCACTACTTCTCAGAAAAGGAAAAATTGGTAGCCCCGTGAATGGAATCCGGACTTCTTGATCTGTAACCAGGAACGCTGATCACTAGACCACGGACGCTATACTGTACCGCCTTACACTTAGCTAATACAACAGGTATCGCAAATACGAAGACTCAGACCCTGACTATTAGTTTCACTGAATGCCACAGGGCGATAAAAGCAGCACTTACCAACCCACACTGGGTTTTATATCGGCTATTCTGCACTCTACCAAATGCATTAACTGGCTTGGCCCGCTCAAACACTGAGGTCATGGGTTCGGATCCCACTCGAGGCATGAATGACTGTTTATTCTGTTTGTGTTGTCCTGTGTCTAAGTAGCAGCCTTGCGGAGGGCTGATCTCCCGTCCAAGGAGCTCTACCGACTGTGTATAGGATTACGAAAGTGAAAAAGCGGCCAGAACCAAACAAAGTGCTATACAGACATCGACGAATGAATGAATTCTGCACTCTATGCTATTTTATGGACAACTAACGATGGCAGAAATTAAATTTATTGCCATCTGAAACACAGAATCACCTTCACAAGAAAGCGAACAGTATGCCCAGTATATGTGTGTGATGAAATAAGGTGGAAGGGGGAAATCTTATAGCCGAGGGCTGGCTCAGAGACGAAGCCATGAAGACGGAGGATATGATAATGTGCTGCCTGGTCAGAGGTAAAATCCGTAATTCTGAGAGTAGTGTCTCCTGGGATACTACGACGTGTATTTTGGCGTAAATTTACAAACTTTGGGAGAAACGTACTGCCTCCATTTTCAGGGTCGAACAGTAAAGCC